TTTTTTTTTTAAAGGATCACAAGTGATAGAAGCAATGAAGGGGGGCGGTTTAGCAAAATAAGGGCATTGCGGCAGGACCGCTTGCTAGCTTATTTGTTTTTACCCCCAGGGTCTCGCATGGATCCGTTTTGCGTGTGCCCTGCCGGCGTCTACACGCAGGGTCCTTTCGCATTCCGTCTTGTACACATTGCATTTGCGGGGTGCGATCGTCTTTTTTTTGTTATTTTTGCACTATATTATTTGCTTTTACTTTGTTATAGAAGTGATTAAAAGATATATTTTTCATGTTATCTAGCGGATAATTAGGTTGAGAGTTTAATGGGTGGGTCTCTTGATGTTTTTTTTTCAGAAGTTATTATTGACAAATCTCTGATAGTTAGGAAAAAGTATTTCTGAAACTCTTATTCTATGCTTGACAAATATCAAAGCATATATTTATTTATGCTTTTAAATTTATCTCAAGATGATACTATGGACACGACTCGTCTTAACATTGTGTAAACTATTGAAAATCGATTTTCGAATCCAATAATGCGATATTTGTGGTCGTGTTTTTCATTGCTGCATATTCTTTGAATGGAGCTTTCATTTTGAATTGATCAAACTTTGAAAACTTTTTAAGCACTATTATTATTTATTTCTTTAGAAGAGAACTATCTATGTCGCTTCTCCTCTATTTTTCTTTATTGTACAACATTTTCACTCTTAATCTACTTTCACTTGGAGCAAAGCGATGAATTATTTTATGTGGTTTATTATGGTGAGAATTTAAACCCCGACGTAAAAGATGACGTGCGGCACGATTTTTTTTTTTTGTTTATATCAAATTAAATGTTAATGTTTTATCTCAATAGTACAATTATGGTCACATATTTTTCCTCATTGGCATTTTTTTAGAGTGTCTCTTTTTATAGATTTTTTTACCTTTTTATTATTACCAATCACGAAGATGCTCGCTTTCCAGTCCCCTTTAATAGATATCACTAACGTACATCTATCACTAAATCAAATAAGTCAGAAGGGCAACCTTTTTAACACTTCAATAAATTCAGCGCCAAAGATTCGGCGTCATGATCCGTATGGTTGGAAATGCCTTCTTGATGAAGATACCACCGAAAACATTTTCCCTCTCGATCAACCTCAAGCTGCCCCTCTTTCCGAACCCGAAAATCTGCTCCGAGGCAACGATGACGAAACTCCTTCCACCCCTCCAGGATCGTCTTTCTGCAATGTGATGGTTCAGTTTAAGTGTCATCAATCTATGTATTCATCTCCTATACTTCTTGAGAGAGGACAGTATGTTGTGGTTCAAGGTGACCGCGGTATTGACATTGGTGTCGTAATTGGTGTAAATCAGGAGGGAAGCAAAAACTTTCTTGAACACACTAGACCTATTGGAAGCTTTCTACGGTATGCTACTCAGCGAGAGGTTGACTACTGGGCTACTGATCTAAAGGAAGCTGAGGCTAGCGCGATGGAAATCTGTCAGAAGCAAGTAAATTTCCATGGAATTAATATGCTGATTTCTCAATGTGAGTATCAGTACGATAAAAAGAAGCTCACTTTTTATTATGAAGCTTCACAGCGTGTTTACTTTGTGCAGTTGCTTAAAGAACTTTACAGGGAATTCGGATGCCGTATATGGATGGAGAAGGTTTCTTCACGTGAATAATAAAAATACAAGTATATATACTTTTGTTTTCAAAGATAGATTTATTTTGCTTAATAATTTTTACCTTGATAAAGTTAGATTCACAATCCTTTCAAAGAAAAAATTATGCCCCACTTTTTTAACTCAGGAGAAAATCTTAGAAAAGTATGATTTAGAATTTTATAGCGGTAATTATTATAGAATCTTTATTACCCTTTAAGCTAGTAGATATGTAAACGTCGCTTCACTAATGAAAATGATTATTTCCTCTGAAATGTATAACAACAAATTACAAATAAAAATGTAACGTGCTCTTCGATAGAGACTTTTCCTTGTCATTTCTTCCTCCTTATTTATAGAACCAAGTACTTTTTTTTTGTGCAAGATAAGCTCTCTAGTTGTAATTGCTTATGTGTGGCTATATTTGATTTCTGCCTTGAATTTTTCAGCAGTTTCAAAGAGTGGTTTCCGCAAACGTACTTAGGCAGTATCAGTATTCTGTTCTTAGTCATCAGATGGGCTATTTCAACGATACTTTTCCCAAGACGACTCATTTTTGTTTTCAAGTAAATAAAACCAGCCTAGGGACTCTCAATAGCACAAAGCTCTTGATTTTTAAAACTTGCTTATCTCATTCATTTGAATTATCCTAAAATTGAACTCCGTCGTTGGAATTAGCATATATTATCTTTTCTAGGAATTCTTTGGATGATCTTTAGAAACCATATTGACCTGGATCGATATTATGCCTTTTGTTCTAGTCAGCTTCTTTTTTTTTGTGGTCAAGCGTTTGTAGCTTCTGTGCTTTGCAACAAATCGCCATTTTCTCATCGATATTTCGTGTTTGAAGTATGTCTAATTATTATCATCATTACACTCCTTTCTGTCTGATTGATTTTATTCTTCTTCCAAAAATATATTTGAATGACTAAATGAGTTCGCTATAATACTCTTTAAGATAGATTTTTAATATGGATTATTTATGTTGTGGAATATTTTTTTTGACTGATTTTTTTTTTACATGTCGTATTTCCTATTTGAGGGTTGCACAAAGCATCCAGAAATGTATGTTTACTAATGCCAAAACTTAATGTTCTTTACACTAAAGTGAACCCCACTAATGGTAAAAAATATACATCTCTCTAGATAATTATGGAATTAATATGTGTATATCCTTACTAGAGATTCGATATAATCATTAAACTATCTCTACTTGAAGAGTTGGACTAAAATGTTCATATATTTTTCTCTCGCGTAATTCTCTCATTTTAAGAGAATGGGGGATTTAAGAAGTAAAAATGTATTATTCTAGCAATAAATGAGGAACTGCTCATAAATACTTTAACTTGTTTCTACGTTACGATTCTTCCAGTATATCAAAGGAAATGTTACACTCTTTGTTAAGTTATCCTATCTGATTCTACACGGAGAATGACGAGATTATAAATATGAAGGTCTCTCAAATCGTGTGGCGGTGTCTCTCATATTCAACTCTCTCGAAGAAGGAAACGCTGTGTATGCATGCACATGCGCTCCCTCATGTATAAAAAGATTAACTATTAACATTTCCATATGTATTAACCCATAACCTATTGTCAAAGATAATCTCGTTTCTTTAGATTCTCAAGAAATTATATGCTTAAAGGAAGCAAAAGTTCCCATCAAAATTGCTATTTCTTAGAATTGATGGCAGAAATAAATGGAAAATTCTCTGCTGAGTTTTTACTGCAGATTCCTCTGTGATTCAATGTTTTTTCTTCGGTTTTCCTATCCTTTTGGAATACATGAATGTTCCTTGGATATATCACGTGCGCTGAAAAGTTGCAAGGAAGAAAACGTGGTAAATGGTGGACCAGTGGCATGCAAACTTTCGTGTTCCATTGTTTTGATTACTTAATATACTGATTGACCTTTTTTCTTATTCGATGCAGAAAAAGATAACGGGGGGGATTAGGTGCTACTATATATTATCAGTCCTTGTTTATGTTAGCCGTATGGAGTTTCTGCTCGTTACAAACGTGTCTTTTCCGATTTCCACTGAATTCACTCGATTAACCTTACTAAGGCTTTTCAGTCTTTGGGGAGAGGTTTACGATATCGTCATGAACCGGGCGAGTGGTATGGCCTCCATTGCCTTCATCGACTCGACGTGTGCTCAAGATGCTCTTGTTCATCTCAATGGCTGTCTTTTGTTTGGGCGGCAAATCACCGTAAGTGTTGCTCCCCCTCCTACTTGCGTTGTACCTGGTTTTTTTGTGACTACGAGACCCACAAACACCCTTCTTGTGCAGAATGAATCTTACCTTCGTATCTTAGTTGTTTTAAGGCGAATATTTGGGGTACAACGAATTGTGCCCATTACGTCAAGGTCTTGCACCGTTTATGTGGACAACTTAGATATAGCGATCATTGCTAAGGAGCTTCTCTCTGCGCGTCGAAATTGTTCGATGGATAGTATTAGCGTGCTTTTTCTCTCTAAACGGTCGTGATAAAGGTTTCTTCATTTCGATTGCATGCATAATAACAAACGTAGTTATTGGCATTTTTTTTTGTTGTTGTTAAACTTGTAAAGCTGGCTATTTTTACTATTTTTCGAACTTCATTCCCTTTACCTTTTCCTGGATCTATAAGAGATGGATACAGAAACTCTCCTTCAGGCCGTGTGCTCTGCGCATTGTAGAAACTTGACCCACGTTTTGCACGCCTCTGAGCTGCTCTCCACTGCAGTTACATTATTCAATAGTTGTGCCTCTTCTATTGGTCCATCCTGTCTTATTGATGACCTTACCAGAGAACTGCAAAGTGACATCGCTGCAGAATCTTTCTTCTTTCTATTAGACGACCTGACAGATTTGGATATCGTAGGGATGGGGCCTGCGAAGATTGGTATGTGTCTTATCTATTTTCCTGCACTTCTTCAGTCATCACAAGCTGAGCGTGTGGTGAAGAATTTGTTGAGGGTTATCGAGTTGTTTCATCAGTCAATACTAGGCCCCAAAAATTTTCGAAAATCATGGAGAAATGTACTAGCATGTTTACAAAATCTTTTAGAAACAGTGCCGAGTGAACCTTTAGCGCAAAGTATTAACACCGTCATCTCTAAAATTGAGGGCGTAATTTCCTGAAATCTAAGTTCTGCTCAGATTTGTGTACATGTGATTTCATATCTGCTCAAAATCGTTGAAGCGAAATTCGCACTTATTGTGTTTATGGTGATTATCCAATCTATTTAATGCCAGGGGTATGCTATTGCTCTCAACAGACATTTCCATCTTTTTTCCTCCGCATATTTTGCTAAAGTAAGAGATTTATAACACAACGATTACAAGAAAGCTCAAATGAATAATCTCGACTACTTGGACTCCTCCGATTCGGATCATGAGATCGAACAGGATCTTAATGCTATGGAGAACATTGAGTCGCAAATTGATCCTTATTGGTTTGGAGTGACTGATGACGATGATGAGGAGGAGAAGCGCGTTGCCACAACCGGCCAAGAAAAAATTAGTGAAAAGATTCAGAAAGCCTGCGATATTTTGGGGTACAGCATAGATAGCAACTCGTGGTACACTGCATACAAGCAGTACACAGAGCTGATTAAGAAATACGAGAATGATTTTAAAAAGCACTCGCGGCCTTTTGTGGAATTTTTAGCCTATCTTCCGGATCTTAATGAAAGCCTTGAGGGTAAGACCAAAGAGGACTTCGAGGATAAAAGGGATTTTTCCTCTCTCAAGCAACTTATCCCTTTGCTTAACGATGCAAAGCAAAAGTACGCCAAGGAAATTGAGCAGCTGGATAGGGATGAAAGCCAAGGAGAATCGGACGATGATGGTGTCGTTGAGAGCAAAATTGCGGAGGACAGCATTGAGTATATAAAAAGTATTGTATTGACCCGCAAAAATATTAAATCGGGAACTTTATTGAATATTGCCAAAGTAGCGCGTCAGAAAGGTAAAACTGTTTTGCAAATCACTGCATTGAGTCTCGCTTCAGGAGTCATTCTGGAACGTATTCACCACGATGACGCGTCGATTGATCTCATCACATGGAACGAAGCGCTGAAAGCTGCACAGCAGTGCTTCGAGCTTATCACCAGTACCCCAAATATACGCTTAACCGAGGATATTGGAAAGTTAAGTGAAAAAACGGCTCTCGTTGCAGGCGATTTCTCGAACATTCTTATGAATTTATGGCAAAAGATTTTCTTGATTATCCAAAGTATAGATGGAACTCTTGGTGACTACCTACCGGCTGTTTTACATGAGAATCGATTAGCGGATTTCGCTGACAGTGTTCTGGGGTATTATCAGCTAAAAGGCATAAATGCTAAGAAATCTCATATTCGCACGTGTGCAGAGGTTCTTCTTAGTATTCTTGGCCCACGTCGCCAAGCAGCGCATTCCATGTTGTTGAAAAGGATGGTTATGAATCGGTGTATTATCACTGAGTCCGTTTTGGACAGTATTAAAGAGCTCCACAGTATTCTGGTCTCTGTGGGTGATGAGAAAAACGCTAAATGTGCAATCTGCTACATTGCTTATCAGTATGGGCTGCTAGGCAAATATCGTGAGGGCCGGGATATACTTTTGCGCTCAGGTATTCAGGAATACCTCAGGACAAAAGAGGACGACATGGTTTTTTATCCAAAGCTGTCCGTCTTATTCAACCGTGCCATGGCACAGTTGAGCTTAGGTGCTTTCATTTCTTCAGACATTCAACAAACTTATGATTTAATCGGAGGCATCTGGAACCTTCGAAACCATAATGTTTTGATTGGGGAAAACATACCTGGACGACTTAAAAAGGGTGAAGCGCTTGAATACAAAAAATTCATGGTTGCACCGTATCACTTCATTCCCTCACCGCAGCTGGAATTGGCAGCCATGCTTTCAGCATTAATTATCGACACCACAATCGTGGCTAAGAACCCATACGAACGAAGTTGGTTGCAAAAATTCTTCCACGGGTCCATCAATCGGCGAACTCAACTTTGTGGTAAGCCTAAGAATATTCGGGATCAGATCCCTGCAGCCTACTACGCTCTGAAGGCAGGAAACTATCTGGAGGCGAAGGAAGTGGTCTCGAGCATTTCTAATTGGGACGCCTTTTCTAATAAAGACGAGGTCCTTAAGGGTTACTTAACTCACCTGAAGGAGGCAGCACTCCGTATCTTTTGCTATGAAAACCGATGCAACTTTTCCACATTTTCGGCACCACAGCTGGCTTTGAAATATGATATGACTGTGGAGAAAGTGCGTCAAGTAATAAACGGGATCATATCCGATAATAACGCTCTCGTAGCATACTGGGATCGAGATGACGTTAATCTCTACGTGGATCGCAGTAATGTCACCAGGCTTCAGCATTTGGTATTGCAGGCCTCCGATTCAGTTTCTGAATTGGCCCCATATACAGAGCGCAGGTCACGTGAAGGGGATGGACGTGGTGGAAGAGGAGGGCGTGGGATCGGTAGGGGGCGCGGTAGGAATTAATCGTGTCTATGTATTGATACAAACCCTTTTAAGTGGAGTAAACCAAACTGGAAAGATTACATAGGGCGGAAAAAACTATAAGTGGTTATATATATATATATATATATATATATATATAAGTAAGAGAATAATAATAATAATATA